TATATAAAGATTTTTATATAAAGATTTGACTTATTATGCAAACGTTTTTGAAGCCATTTAAAAAACTCGCAGGTCGTGTTTTATTAGGTCCAAAGCCACTCGCGCTGCGCGCTCGTGGCTTTAAACCTAATAAAACACTCCTACTCGTTTTTTAAACAGTACATAAAACACTCCTCATTAGTATTCTTTATATAAAACCTTTTCCTACTTAGTACTCTTTATATAAAGAACACTAATAAAGTCGCGTTTGAAGCCGTTTAATTCAGTAATAAACTCGCAGTACCTGTTTTGTAGGTCGCTTAAACCTAACAAAACACTCCTGCTCGTTTATTAACAGTACGGTACTTAAAATTTCTTAAGAAATAATTAAACAAATAAAAGGACAGCTTTTTGTGTATGATTTAAAGTGTATTCATTGAGGTAATCAGTGCTTATTATAAAATTTTTAAAGATTTAAACTTTTCCATGCGTATATTGGCAGCCTTACACGCGTAAAATTCTCACATCAAGTCTGTCAACAAGCCGTCAACAAGTTGTGTTCGCACTGCTTGTCCCAAGTTGTCAACACGTTTGGCACAAGCTGTTAACCACTCGAAACAACCTTGTTGACATTATCGTATTTGTTACAAAGTTTTCCAACAAGTCCAATACAGTCATGATATAACAATATTGTTACAGGTTGTTACAGGTCTGCAAACAAGTTGTTACAAATCTGTTCACAAGCCGTCAACAAGTTGTGTTCGCACTGCTTGTTCCCAGTTGTCGTAACAAGTTGGGAACAAGCTGTTAACAACTTGTAACAAGTTTGATGGCATTATCAGACTTGTAGCTAAAGTTGTTCTAACCAGTCTGATACAGTCATGATATAACAAGAATGTTACAAGGTTGACGACACATTTCAGAACCATCCTCAGAGATACGAAAAACTAGTTTCAATATTAATATGAAACTAGTTTGACGACACATGTTGTAACAATATTGTTATATCATGACTGTATCAAACTTGTTGGAACGCAAATTTGCAACAAGTACGATGTACTTTGCAACAAGTACAGCTGGTCCCAAAGTTCTAGACAACTTGGGACAAGCAGTGCGAACACAACTTGTTGACAGACTTGTTGTAAGATGTGAAACCCGGCATTCCTTATTCTACATTCTTTTTCCTATACAGAAAATGGCACCGATGTCGAAGAAACCTCGTGGTTTATCTCAAACGAAATGTCAGAAGGTTTGGTGTTATTTACTTCAGACGAAGGCAGGCAAATTTTCTTCGAATCCGGAAACGCCGGGTACCTTAACAGCTACTTCGAATTGTCCCAGAACTTTTTAACCTCATTCGATCCGAGTTTTAGTTGCGGTCTTGCGACACTGACGATGTGCTTGAACACCTTTCGCGAGGACCCGTGTAGGGTATGGAAAGATATTTATAGATGGTATGCACAGACAATGCTGGAACACTGTGTACCTTATAAGATGATAGTGGGTAATGGTATTGTGTTCCAGCAGTTTGCGTGCATGGTCGAATGTAATTATCTTACGGTGGCTCTGGTACGCAACCTCAAACCCACTGCATCGGTGGACGAGTTTCGCGCGCTTTGCAAAAGGACAACATCGCGAAGGTGTGACGAGATTTTAGTAGTTTGCTATCACAGGAATGGTCTCGACCAGGAAGCCACGGGGCATTTTTCCCCAATCGGGGGTTACCACCCGGAGAAAGATTTAGTTTTGGTGTTCGATGTGTCCAGGTATAAATATCCGTTACACTGGGTGCCGATAAGACGACTCTGGGGAGCGATGGCGCTAGATGATGACGTCACTGGTAAGTAGTATATGGAAGGCATGAAGTACGGTTGGTCTGGCGAGTTCTCATTCACAATGGTATTTTTCCGATAAATTAGGCCCCGTTTACATGAGACTAGGACGAAGTCAAACTGGAATGAAAATTGAAATTGTCAACATGTTTACATGAGACCGGTACGAAAATCACAAAATTTTCAATTTATTCCCTTGCCAGGCAATCTTAATGAAAATTGAAATTGTCAACATGTTCAAACGAGACCGGTACGAAAATCACAAAATGTTCAATTTATTCCCCTTGCCAGGAAATTTTCTTTTTTAGATGGCTCTTAATTGTTAGCATGTGTTGTTCCAATGTCAAGGTTACAGCCGAGACCGGTCTGAAATGTATTTGTGTTTACATTCATCACAGTCGGAATTCATGCCGGTCTGAAGTCAGTCGATAGGCGGCCCATTAAATGTTGTTAATATACATAAATACTGCAGTAAAAAGTGTTACAAAAAGTCAGAACATCTCAAATTAGCGAACTGCTTATTAAATACAGGATTATTTAAAGATAATCACTTCCTGTGACCATACCTGCGACTTATTGCACGGACAGCGATATGACGTATACGTCATATTCTACTACAGGAGCCAAAGTACCGGAGGAAAAAATCTTTGGTGGTTAGCTATATACATCAAATATTTCTGTTATTGTCTACGCAGGTAATCCCAGAGGCTACTATGTTTTACGTAAGAGATCATCCTTGGACAAGCCTCCCCTACTGTTTAAGACTGTCAGTTCAGAAGATTCCCCAACCTTTCATAAAGGATGGTTAAAGTTCTTCAATACTGTTCTGATGCCTTGGCATTGTTGGATGAAGAGTCTGGCTGCTCCAACCAGTACTAGGGAGGCATTGATAGAGGTTATCAGGAAATTATTGAAGTTTATGATGAGTTCAAAATGTACAGGTATATAAAGCAATTGTTTGTATGTTATACCGTAGACACTTGCAACTATGCAATACTAATACGAAAACTTCCTAAGTTCAAATTGGTTAAATTTGGTAAAATTTGGATGAAAATTAGATGAGACATACATACATAACGTAATTCACCAATTCACTATTTCACCTCTAGTTTCCTATTGTGAAATGGCGTAGGTTTTTCGTGATGCTTCGCATATTATTTGCTCAAATACGCCATGTACTATAAACTGGAAAAACGATGCGTTATACTAATTTTCATTTTTCGTGACGTTCTCAGGAATGGATCACCTTGATGGAATTCATATACGTTTGGAGTTTATGAACGCTGATCTTTCGTCACACAAGAAATGTCTAGTTTGCAAAGTTCGCGAAACAATAGAGGATTGCATTTTGTGGGAATACGTGCGAGAACAGATTGTGGAAGAAAAGGAGCGAAAGAATGAACAACACGAACAACATCAACGACACGAACAACAAGATCAACGACACGAACAACAACATCACGAACAAGAACAACAACACGAACAACAACATCAACGACACGAACAACCACATCAACGACATGAACAACATCAACAAAACGAACAACAACCACCACAACACAACCATCGACATTATCAGCATCAACAAGTAATGTGTCTTTGCTGGTCAAAGCTAACCGACGGCGTTTCTGAAAACAAACCAACACATTCAACAATTACGTGTTGTAACGTACACATTCAACCGTCGTCGTGTCATTTACGACGTTTCAATCTTGCCCATTACATTGTAATGATTTTACTGTCCTGGCCTTACGAATTAGACGATAAAAATAACCACAAAATCAGCAATGGGGTATGTTCTGCAATGAATCACGTGGTCTCGACAGAATTATCGAACATGGATGAGGTATTGGAAGATGAAGTGGTCAATGTTAGAAACCGTTTCTCAAAAACACAACTCGCCATACGGTAAACCTTCGCACAAGAGGAAAGATCGGTGTAAGAGGACAGCAGATTGTGGTTAACTTCAGAAATATGAGTGAGCTTTAGTGGGATAATTCAGTGACTGATCCTGAGCTTAAAGGCACAATTCAGCCTTTTGAATGATGGTTTTTAAGGCGCATTTCAGCCCTTTTAATTGAAAAAACTAACTAGGAAAATCAATTACGCATTATTCAAGATCAGCAAACTTACTGTTCTTAACATTTTAAAACATTTTTATTGTAAACATTAAGTTTACTGATTTTGAATTATGTATAATTGATTTTCCTAGTTGGTTTAACAGGGCTGAAATGCGCCTTAGCAAGCGATGTTTTTGTCAACATGGACCGTCATCCGAAAATTGGTATGCTAATTTTGGAGGCATTTTGCATCATAGCGCTCGGTTAAGGAAGCAAAAAACTTCAAAAATCTTGCATTTTATCAGATCATAGTCTATCAAGATAGGATGGTCTGGAAACTAAACACAAGTCATTGTATTATGTTTTTGTCGGAGTTTATGTTAATTTGTGCACAGTCACGGTGATTGAGCTCATTGTATTTTCGTATAATGAAGTAATCATTCAAAAGGGATAGCTGAGATGAAACGTGCAACCACAATGAATATTTAATGAAGTTGAGACAAAGGATTTGTGCATGGTGAGATATAGTTCAACATCAAACAAAGGTCTTCTATTTTGTAGCTTTGAAGTTTGCCGGGTTTCCAGACCATCATATCTTGACTGAAGCCCCGTTTACATTACGCTCAATTTTTGGTACGGCACGGATAAAATTGGTACCCGTACCACTTTTTTGGTTCTGGGACTGCCTATTTAGGTAGTCCAAGAACCAAAAAGTGGTACGGTACCAAATATTGAGCGTAGTATAAACGGGGCTTAGCTAAATAGGTAGTCCAAGAACCAAAAAAGTGGTACGGGTACCAATTCTATCCGTGCCGTACCAAAAATTGAGCGTAGTGTAAACGGGGCTTTATTGTCTACATGTCTATTACATGGACAAGAATGGCAGGGACACCACAACAGTGTAACCCAATTACTGTGGGCCCAGAGTACCCTAATATTCGGGTATTGTGGTTTTCCCAACAAGAGATGGCCAACAACTGAACAAAGATTTATGTATTCACTTTCAGGGTGTTCTCAGTCTTAAGAATACAAGCTTCGAGCCGCGATATGTTCTGATACTGCCCGAGACAGCTCAGGTAAGTACGGATGATTGTGGCGTGTTCTTGTAGATCTGCGTTTGACAGGAACTAAGATCAAACAACAGAATTAACTTCCTGACAAAGGAACGTCGAAGTTCTTCTAACTTGTTAGGGTGTCCATGTGCCTTGGAAATCCTGGAAAGTCCTTGAATTGGGAAAAAAATTCCAGGACTGGAAAGTCCTTGAAAATCAGTAAAGTCCTTGAAAGTCCTGGAATTACAGTAATTTCCTTAACCTCCAGCTGTGCCAGCAATAGTGAGTTTGATTAAAATTACTGAATAAAGTGAATTATTTGCTGGGCAAATTGTGCCATTTTCAAACATTTTTCCCAGTTCTAGGTCCTTGAATTTACTGAAAAAGGGCCTTGAAAGTCCTGGAAAAGTCCTTAAATTTCCTGGAAAAGTCCTTGAATTTCACCTTCATCAAAGGGTGGACACCCTGACTTGTATTTTTCACGTAGTTGTATCCCTAACCAATCCGTAGCTTTCTGAATCAATCTATTGTCTTTTCCTTGTAGGAACATGAACGTAGACTACGTGAACACTCTCACTATTCTGAATCGTTGATTGCTCGAGCTTTAGATCGTGTTGAAATGTACGCTGATGTGAACAGAGAGAAACCTGGATTCTTTGATATGACCTTTGTTAGTGGTAAGCAAACATATCTCTATTTTTTCATAGTTAACGGTTACACTGAATACCTTGGATCTCAACTTTTCACGTTTAGTCCTACCTACCTAAACTTACTGTATTTATACTGGGTAGCTCCATCAGTTCTAAACTGTTCTTCCTAGAGGTCCAGTAAGGATCATCTCGTATATATTGATGCAGTGTTACTACAGGAGGAAACCTAAACTAAAGTAACTTTATTTATACTGGATAGCTCTATTAGTTCTAAACTGTTCTCCCTCGAGGCCCAGTAAGGATCATCTCTTATTGATCCAGTGTTGCTACAGGAGGAAACCTAAACTAAACTAACTTTATTTATACTGGATAGCTCTATCAGTTCTAAACTGTTCTCCCTCGAGGCCCAGTAAGGATCATCTCTTATTGATCCAGTGTTGCTACAGGAGGAAACCTAAACTAAACTAACTTTATTTATACTGGATAGCTCTATCAGAATTTTTATTTTTCGATACAAAGTTCCTTATTTTCTTCAGACGATCTTCATGAACTGTACAGAAAACTAAAAATGCTAGTCTTGGATTACCTCGGTCTTTCACCGACAGCCACGACTGATTCCGAGTTCATCACGAACAGCTTTACTGATTTATCAAGTGGCTCGAGGGGATCCGAATGTCCGAGAGGTTCCGAAGTCAGTACGGTGACTACGACGGCATCCCGAGCATGGTCTCGACCAAGATCGGATATCTCGAATGGTTTCGTGAAGACCAATCTGAGTTTTCAAAGTTCCAAGATTTCATCTGTAGAGCAAGCGTCGATGGAAAGACGTCGCACGTTAGCTAAAGCTGCTCTGGCAGGGATCCCTTATGTCTCCAAAGAACAGCTAAATAGCTTAGGGTAAGTGAGATTTTGGATGCCATGAGGAGGGGGGCGAGGGGCAGGGACAGCCCCCTGGATACTGAGGGAAAACATTGGGGAGGATTCCTTCTCTCTTAGAAAAAGTTGAATACCATGGGGTAATGGTATAAACTACCTTTGACATTTTGAATGAAGGTCCTTTGAAAGGAGTTTAATAGTCATGACTGCATAACTCAGGGAGATCATTAGCCAAGCTTGCAGACTGCAGTGGATATTTATATGGAGCTACGCAAGGGGCGCTTTCCATTAACACGGCAAGACCGGTCAAATTGTTGAATGGAACACAAAACATTTGGGCTTCGGACCTATCTGACCGGAAGATTCAGATAACATTAAAATGAGGTCCATTTTCACTAGATATTTGAGAAACATAGACCATGTCTTTCCATTGATACAGAGAAAAGAATTCGGGTCTGACCGGTCAGGCCATTAAATGGAAAGCGCCCAAGGATTCTTGGAGTTGTCATTCAGTACCTCCAGGCCCAGTTTTCAAAAGAATTTGAATTCAAAAGGCAGTGGAGCTGGCTGTCTAAACCAGGAGGTACTGAATGACAACTCCAAAAATCCTTGCCTACCTCCACATAAACTGCAAGCTTGGCCAATAATCTTAAGTGCTGGGTTCCAATGTAGGTATAAAGAATCAATATCTTACCGCGTAGTTTTACCTTGCAGACGTTCAGATGCAGAAAGTCGACAGATCAACGACAATTTCTCAACATTGCTCAAACTCACACGATCTCTCTCTGCTCCAGTGGACCTCAGTCACTTCTCATTGTTGGTGAACGCCTCGTGTACCCTCAGTACAGACCCACAGCAATCTCGGGATGACATAAGGTATGTTGAAGTACGGCCCGATTTCTACAGGCCAATTTACACCACACAATTTTTACCTAATACTGTCGCATGCAACCTGCTTACAACTTGAGTTGTACTGTGTAAATCAAGCACACAACTCGTCTACGTTGTTAAAACCATTTATTTTTTGCTCTTCCAAAAATTTAACTAAACATCGTAAATTACAGATCGGACTTCGACTCCGACTCAGAATCGGGTGGCTCGAGCGCGACCCCATCGTCGGCACGAGCGTTCTCTCCGAACATTGACCGACCAGATTCCGACGTTTCACGAGAGGGCTCGATATCGCCAGCATCGCTAGGCACATTTCAAGGTTCAACACCAGTCCGTGAGGAGCTGTTGGGGAACGCGATATAGACACAGGGCTGCCTGTTAGCCCGTCTGCCGTGGAGGCTAGGTATTTGTATATATGTAGAAATATATCACAGACTTCACCTTCCTTCTTTGTGATGGCGAGGTGTCCTCATTTTTGTGCATAGAAATAATTTGTGTAGATCTAAACCAATATCTTATTTAATGTGCGTATAATAGTTCCATGTCGCAGGAATAACCACTTTGTGCAATAATTTGTTGATTACCAAATTTTACTTAACGTGTTTTCAAAAGAGACTCCACACTTCTCACATTATTCTCCATGCTTGTCAGCTTGATTCTCCCTGTGTTGTGCACACAAGAGTTTGAGGTATCTGGAAAGACATGATCATATTTATCGCGTTGTAGGAGCGCAAAAACGTGAAAGCTATATATACATCTTTAAGACTGGGGAGCAATTGCAAAGAATGTATCCATAGGTCACATGAAGGTGATGTGACCTTGGCTCAAAATTCAAACATTTTTAACACTACCTGTCAATATGTGCGTCCAACCAATCGCGATATGCCAAACCACTGACCCAAGATTCAGGCAATTTGTGATATCCAACTTTACAGCCAAGTAAGGCTCCTGCAACTGCACAGTTCGTGTCTGCATCACCAGCCTAGATAATAACACATAATAATGTACTTCTAGCTTTATGGAATTAATCAGAAATACAGTTATATAATTCATTAAATATTTTACCTCCATAGTAAGTTCTTGTATTGCTGTGCGGAAATTTTTCTGCTTGAATGCCCAGAAGCCTGCACCAAGACATTTGAATGTATACCCAATTGATTCACCAAGTTTTAGGTTCTGCACATTCTTCTCAAACATATAGGCATGCAACTCTTTTTTCTATAACAATGTTTTTCAAGTCTTAGTTACGAATTAAGGTGATACATGTTTCAACAAACCTGGGGACCCAGTCTATACAAGTAGCTGTTGTGCTACCCGAGGAAGTTTTGTGCCGAGGAAGATGTTTTGTGCCGAGGAAGATGTTTTGTGCCGAGGAAGGTCCTTTCATCAACAGGATGGTAGTCATGCTTTTTTAAATGATTGTACAGACAGGAATGAAATCGGGCTTTCTTAAATGAAGGGTGAGTGAACTATATATACGTCCCTTGATACATACATGTTCATTTTTTTCCAACTCTTGTTCAGCGGTTGCATGAGCTTCCTTTGTTATTTCATCAACATCATATTCCCCACTCTTCATCTTGTATTTACCTTGCAACGTCAGTGCTATTGCCATGGTAACAGCAACGCATGATGCAACACATCGAGGGTCGGCATGAGTGACCTTACATGCATTCTTGGTGTTTTCTATAACTTTGGGCAAATCATGATATTGCATTGTTCCAAGAATTGACGTTCGCATTACTCCACCATTTGGTGCTACGAAATAACCACTTTTTACCCATATGTCATGTGCCGCCTAGTTTATAGAGAATTATGGAAATTATATTAGACAAAACAAAATAACATTACCTGTTGCCATGGAGATGTGATTGGAGAGATTTATTGATTGATTGGAGAAATTCATTGATTGATTGGAGAAATTCATTGATTGATTGGAAAAATTTATTGATTGATTGGAAAAATTTATTGATTGATTGGAGAAATTCATTGATTGATTGATTGGAGAAATTCATTGATTGAATGGAGAAATTTATAGATTGATTGGTGAGATTCATTGATTGATTGGAGAAATTCATTGATTGATTGGAGAAATTTATTGATTGGATTAATTGATTGGATCATTCCATTTGATTGAGTGTATCAATTCATTATTTAATCGACACATTCATTTGATTGGATGATTGGATCAAGTCACCAATTAGCAGTTGATTTATTGACCGCCCACCTGATGTGGATCAGTTAGGTAATCAGGATGTTCCAACACTTTAACTGTCGTCATTCCTCTTCCCATTCCTCCTGAGTCACCTAACTCTGGAAAACCTTTCCTACACCATGTCAGCATCTTGTTTGCAAACAGCATCTTGTCAAACTGAAACATACAGACTAAATACATTTATAAATTAACCCTTCAAGTGTCAATGTGCCCTGATGCACCCTACTTTATTATTTTACTTAGTCGAACACCAGATGATTTTACTTGTCAAGGGGAGAGTGCTGCCACTCAAATTGGGTTAAAGATTATCTTTAAGTTTTAGTTAATGTGGATAATTTTGTTAGATTAACTTTCAAAATGCAAATCAAACAATATCATTTTATATACCTGTCCATCGCGTTCCAAAAGTGTTTGCAAGATTAATATCATTTGATCCGAGTCGTCTGTCCAATCACCTTGCACCCATCTGATGCGATGACTGTCGTTTGATTTCATCTCGTATTCAAGATTTATATCTTTTGTGAAAAAATGCTTGCCCACAGAACCGTACACCTAAATGAGAATTGACTTATAGATAACTAGAGGGCACTCAGAGACTGCATACCTCCACCCCCATTGAATTTCAATCATGTGAAATGCAACTAAGACAATAGATAATGAAGGTTGAAACTTAATGAGGTTTTTATCATCTCATTATTGTCTTAGTACTGCGTGCATACATTATACACGTCCTAATTACGCATTCAGTGAGTTTTTAATTGACCAGGAAAAGCAAGACAAAATTTTGTTGATTTCTCGTTCAATTTTTAACCAAATTCAACCAAATTTTAATCGGTTCTTCCTTAGCCGTTGGGAAATGAACTCAAAAAATTTCGTATAAATATGTTTGGTATTTCTTGAGTTATCGTGCTCACAGACAAACACACACACACACATACAAACCCAGATGATTACATAACCTCCTGGCGGAGGTAACTATGATGGCAATCAAGATGTTTTGGATCTGTCAAATTTTGGATGTCTCCAGTGATGTCATTAATCTAGCTGTAATGCACCCTACTCTTTACTCCATCTAACACCAGATGATTTTACTGATCAAGGGACACTCTGTCCATTATGTCACAGGTCAAACTCAACTGTTAACCATCGAGGCTCATTTCTATATTATACAAATACCGAGGTATCACTGTAGAGCAT